CTGTCACAGTCAGATAAAACACACACTTCACACTGTACTGAAAACATACCGAGAAGGAAGACTTGTTTGGAACTTTCTGGGGCATTTTGATCATGAGCTAACCATCCCATCTTACAACGAGTTCTCGGATGTTTCAAACTACCGACTGCCTTTTCTGTTAGTGTCTAATGAGTGTGTTAAATGGCCAGTGACATTTTGTCTTCAGTGGTGCTGGCAAAGCTTTCAGAGGCTTGGGCCGTATCATCAGATCAAATCCTGAAAATTGGTGCAACAGTTGGTGATCCGAGAGAAAACTATGCTTTTGAGAAAATTAAAAGCAGTCTTCTTCATACTTAATGAAAAGGCCAAAGTTTGAAGTCTTACCACAGTGCGTTAGAGTGGAGAGGAATTTCTGTTGCGTCCACTGAGATGGGATGTGATTTGTACAGCAGGTGGAGCTGGCACACTGGACTGGACTTGAGGAACCTGCTGAGCAAGAATGATTACTTCACCTTTTCTCTACGCCATTAAGAAAACTGCATAACGTTTAATTTGAAAAGTATCACTTTTCGATTTTATGAATTTATTTAATTTAAAAAAATGTCAACATGAATGCAAAGATGATGAAATCTGGAGCAGTTTCAAGAACATATCAGGATGCACAGATATTTATTGGACATCCATGATAGCAGTGGAGTTCAGACGGTTGGCAAAATGTAAATGTAAACATTTTAACAATTGATTTTTATAATTACAGTAAAACCTCTACATACACATTTAATTTGTTCCGTAAGTTGGTTCAAATCTTCCCTTAAGAATACACTGTATAATTCGTTCCAAAGCCCAAAAACCTACTGCAGATAATTACACATAGCAATGAAACAAATGCATTATATAAGAGAGATGTAAAAATAAATAAATCATAAAAAAAATTGTAAGTAGGTTCTACTGGATTTCACAAAGGAAAATACAAAAGACAACAAATGAAACTATTGCAATGACATCGTGCTGCCCCGTATGAAAATGTGTCCCTGTTGTAAATTTGATCAACAAATGTAATCACCTGAAAACAGAATTTGAGCAAATTGACTAAAATAAATGGGGCTTACTGCATCACATGTTGTAAACATGGCCACAGATAAATTAATTATAGTCAAAAATCCACGATAGAACATGGAAACAAAAACAGAATCCAGCCTGGTGTTTAGCTCATTCTGGTTGTGGTTTGCTTTGTGGCAGGAAAAGGCAGATTCCTGAACTTATATCCAGCCTTATTTCTAAAAGACTGACTGTCCATTGTGCTCTTTTTAAACACACAAGGTAACTGTTACCTGTTACTTGGTAAGCCATTTATTTCCAACATACATAGGTCATAAAGTTGAGTTTTTCCTTCAAATTTCACATACTTTAGCAGTTTTCTGCTTTTCACTGAATAATATTTAATTCAAGTTTTGAAATTTGTTGACAATAATATATCAATTCATGACATCCTCTCTTCGTTTTTAACAATTTACACAACTTAAGATAAGACAAATATAGACAATATAATAAAAGACTCGGTTCTAGTTTTACGTCAGATTTGATCATTGGCAATTCAAAGAGATTAAGTGAACTATTTCTGTGTTTTTAGAATATAAAACAAGGAAAATATCACGAAAAATAGAAGAATCTTGATAGCTGATCTTAACCGTACCTTATGCAGGGAAGCTGTCCTGAGGAGGGTGTTTTGTTCCTGTTGAGTTCTTCCTTTTTATAACGCTCCATCAATAGGGTGGTGTCTTGATAATAGAAGACTTGTCTGACGAGATATTATGTGTCAAACAACACCAAAAATAGGGTGCATCTTTTCACAAAATAACATTGTTTGGAAAGAACTGAAAGCACGCATCGATGTAAATGCTGACATTCACATCAAAAGCTACAATCATAATCATTACATCTGAATATTAATGTTGGCCTTTTTCTATTTGTGCTTTCAATTGCAACATAAGGTCCCTGATACAATTTCCAAATAAAGTCTTAACGTTTATTTTTCAAGAACTTTCACTAAGTTGGAAATAGATTTTAGTAACAGTTTCACAGGTAAGAAGTGAAACTGTTTTTCTCCACAGTCAGAAAAAGGTGCCCATTTAACAAAACTGTGAACTGAATGATAACACAACATTTCACCAGTTGACACACACTGTATCTACAGAAAATACACTCACACACACACACCCACACACACATGCAACTCTTCATCCAGCAGGCTCAAATTCCTCAATGTTGATGCACGTTCATTTTGTTGACTTTTTATGCTTGAATACTTTCGCTTTAATGCGTCACCAATAACAAGGTGTGTGAGATGTTTGGTTTCAATAAGCCTTTTGTGCAAAGGTACAAAGATATGTTTGACATGCAGTTACATAAAAGAATAATTCATTCGTCTGTTATCTTTTGTCATTCCAAACATCTCACTGGTGACCTACTGAATATTCCAGTAACACCGTATCGTTTTCCTGACCGGATTTAGTGTCATTAAAAGACAAACAGAAAGTTGTGTTCATATCTTTTTTTAAATGAATATTTTTTTGCTCTTTTTCTTATTTGTTTGAGATAGTTTAAAATTAATTCATAATGTATTGTGTATTAATTGACATAAAGGTGCTGTGCAAGAGCAATTTGTTGAAAAACAAACAAACACACTTTGAAATACATTAGAATAGCTTACTTATTTATGGGTTTCCAGTACCTAAATCAAGACAAAGAAAGAAAAATACAGCTCCTTTTTTGTCTTTGGACTCTAACATTATAAAATGAAAAGTGTTGTAGTGACAGAAACACGACATCAGTGTGTATGAAGAGGACAGTCTGCTATGGAATAAAGGAACTCTTTAAACAAAACAACAAAAAGAACCAGGAGTTTGTTTTCATCTATAAAGAAGTGGTGCTCAGCTGGAGCAAGAGGTAGAGATTCTCAAAAGGAAAAGAAAAAGAAAACAAACAGACAGAAATAGTAATTTTCTTAATAGGAAAAGGAATTAAGCTTGCCAGAAAAATAGATTCCACCTTACAGGACAAACTGGTGCTACCTTTTTGAGCTGTGGGGCAGAATTGCTTTTGATTCTCAGGGAACCAAAGATATCGAATGAAAGTTGAAATCAGAAGACCCATAAAGCAGCAACATGCCGCCAGGTGAAAAACACATGCTCATTGCTTTCTGGTTAAACTTTTTAAAGCTAGGATAGGTTGAATAAATGTCAGGAGCAAGTGTTTTAAACTCTTGAATCTTGACTGTACAGCAGTGGCACAGTGGACAAGTCTGTTTATCTGCAAATAGAACTGGTGAGTCTATTTCCTGATTCCAATCTTTATCTTAAATCTCTGCCCATCGTCCTTCGGACGTAACAAAACGGTAAACTGAATGATACCATAACATTTCAGCAGCTGACAGTCACACTGTATCTACAGAAAATACACACACACACACACACACGCGGTGGCTTTTCAAGTGCACTAACCGCTGGATCAAAGTTATCATTCATATCTGCTTACTTCATTTTCCCAGGTTCTCTGTCAGACAGTACATGTCTATCTTCAGTTGTGTTTTGGGGGAAAAAATCTATTTTTGTTCCACTCTTCATCCAGCAGGCTCAAATTTCTCAACGTTGATGTTAGCTGGGTATGAATTTTGTTTATTTTTATGGTTGAATACTTTCGCTTTAACGCTTCACCGACAACATGTTGTGTGAGCTGTTTGGTTTCAAGAAGCCTTTCGTGCAAAGGTCCAAAGATATTTCTGTCATGCAGTTACATAAAACGAATCAGTTTCATTCGTTTATCTTTTGTCATTCCAAACATCTCACTGGTGACCTACTGAATATTCCAGTAACACCATATTGTTTTCCTGACCTGATTTAGTGTCATTAAAAGACTAAACAAAAAGTTGTGTTCATATCTTTTTTTAATTTATCTTTTTTGCTATTTTTATCATTAGCATTGAGACATTTTTACAATGAATTCATAATGTATTTTGTAATAACTGACATAAAGGTGCTGTGCAAGAGCAATTTGTAAAAAAAATAACAAAAAACTTTGAAATATATTAAAATAGCTTACTTATTTATGGGTTTCCAGTACCTAAATCAAGACAAAGAAAGAAAATACAACTGTCTTGAAAAACAGTACTTCTCGTCTTTCATACATCTTTGGACTAAATATGTGAACTTATTTGTCAGAAATCAACAGGATAAGTTATATAAATGTCAGCGGCCAGTGTTTTAAACCCTTTAATCTTGACTGTACAGCAGTAGCACAGTGGACAAGTCTGTTTATCTGCAAATGGAACTGATATATCTATTTCCTGATTCCAATCTTTTTCTTAAATCTCTGCCCGTCCTCTTTAGAACGGCCAAGTGCAATGTTTACAAGACATGTCAAAATGAAAGAGTGAACAAAACAAACGTATACCCAAACTACCAAAGGCTGCACTCATGGCTAAAAGCGATCAGCAGTGTGAATCACTCTCACCATTTCATAGTTGTTGTAAGACTAAGATTGTAAAACAATTTAATCTTTTAAATATCACTTTCTTTTGGGACTCTGTTCCCCTAACAGGCAAAAAAAGGGAAATGAGAGGATTTCATAGATGTCATATCTCTGGCGTCTAATATCTCTTCTTCATAAAACCCTTCAATGGGAACAAAGTCTAGTCAAACTCAGTGAAGAAGGCAAAAGAAATATTCTCAGACATGGAACGATTGTAAATCACACAAAATGACTGGGACAGATTTATGCCGTCTGTGTTTGCTTAGTTTCTCTCTGACCCAGCAGTAAATGATTTATGGAGGGAGGAGAAAGGTGGGGAAGGACTAACGTTTCATCTGGTTCTCTTTTTTTTGTGCTTTTTGCTGTTCATTCTTTACATTATTTCCACAGGCTTCCCAATTCTCTTCTCATGTTCGGGTTCTTGTAAGCACACCGGAAAGAAGAGGCGACTATTCACAACATCGGTCAACCTGTCCGGCTGGACTTTGACTTCGGGTTTTTTTCTGTACAAAGAAAAAAGTGGGGGTTCAAAGTTAGAGAGGATACCACGGTAACAACACCTGGAGTGTGTTTTTCCTGATGGCGTCGTCCGGCTGGGACTGTTTGTTCTGCCTGACCCCGGCCCTGCTGGTCCTGCTGCTGTCTCTGGCCCTCCGCCGGCCCGGAGCGCGCCGCTGGACCAGACTGGCCGCCGGGGCCGCCGGCCGGAGGCTGTGGGGGGTTTTCTGCCTGGTCACACGTCTGCCAACGCCCGGGGGCGAGGGGGAGCTGACCGAAGGTTCGGGTCGGGACCGGACGCCGGACCGACCCCGGCTGGTCTGCAAAGCCACGGCGCTGGCCAGACACCTGCTGCAGCACTGCCCCTCCATGGCCGGGCCCGCTCTGGCCGCCTGGCCCTGGGGCGACCCCCACGTCCAGACCCTGGTCGCCCTGTTCTGCGGACAGCGCGGGGACGGCGTCCGGTTCAGCCGGGAGCACCTGCTGCTGAAGGACGGCGGGATCGTGGCCCTGGACTGGGCCTCGGGGCCGGCGAGGAGAAGGTGGGAGGGGAGGAGGGAGCCCCCTGTTCTCCTGCTGGTCCCCCAGTGCTGGGGGGGGACCACCCCGCACCTGAGGATGCTGAGTCAGCGGGCCCTGCGGCAGGGCTTCTGCGTGGTGGTGTTCCACCACCGGGGCACGGCGGGGGCCCCGCTCGCCACCGCGCGGCTGACCGAGTTCGGGGACCCGGCTGACCTACAGCAGGTAGAGCAGCGTCCAGCAGCCTCTTCAAGTCCAAGAATATTTCTCTTCTCTTTGGAGAACCCCCATTCGGTTTCAGGGCCACATCCTGAAAAAATGGATTTTCCTTTTACGTATATTCATCTGAATTTTGCTTTCTTTCCCCCCCCCCCCCCTTTACCCCAACGTGTCCGCGCTCAGGCGGTGGACTACGTCCACAGTCGCCACCCGTCCTCGGCGCTGGTGGCGGTCAGCGAGGGCTCGGGCTCGGGGGTCCTGCTCTCCTACCTGGGGGAATGTGGCTCCAGCACGCCGCTGCTGGCCGCCGCTGCCCTCTCCCCCGTCCTGCTGGGCCGGCTGTGGCTGGAAAGGCCCCTGCCGCCCATTTATCGGTGGGGGGCGCTGTTCCACAGGAAGCTTCAGCTCAGGAGGTAAGAGGAACCAAACGGTAAAAGACCGCACATTAACACAGAAATGGCCCGTTTATAGACATGCTGTGTTTTTTGTTTTTCTTAATTCTACATGCTACTGGCATCAGATATGGAAGCTCCCTCAGAGGAGTTCTGAATGTGGACGGCGCCCTCAGCTCTTCCTCTCTCAGAGACTTTGAGGAGACTCTTTTCTGCTCTTCGGCCCAGCTCAAGCAGGGAGTTTCCACGTCTCCGGGAAGCTCCTTAAACTCCGGATCTCCCTCCGGCCGGGGCCCTGACCCCTCAGTGGTCTGGGCACTGGGCGAGCGGGCCTACCCGGCCACGGACTGGGACGGCTACTGGGGGAGGAACGAGCCCCTGAGGGACGCCGACGAGGTGGCGGTGCCGGTGCTCTGCATCCGCAGCAGGGACGACCCCCTCCTCCCCCCCGCCTCCACGCTCCCCCTCCCCCTCTTCCGCAGCAATCCCTACTTCCTCCTGCTGCTGACCAACAGAGGGGGGCACTGCGGCTTCACTCTGGACGGCCGAGGGGAGACGGACCAGGGAACGAGATGGGATGAGGATGAGGAGGAGGAGGAGGGGGGGCACATCTGGAGTCACATCACAGTTCTGGAGTACTTCAGAGTGTTGGCCGATTTCCTGAAGGAGGGGGGGAGAGACGGGGTCAGCTGGAGGGGCCCGACGGAGCTGCACGGTCAGAGCGGTCAGAAGACCTGGACCAGCACTTTGGCGCCCGCTCGCAGGAGGAGAGCCACCTTGATGAGGAGGATGAGAGCACAGGAGACAGAGAACTCCACAGACGAGTCAGAGGCAGCGGGCTTCACCTGGAAGAGGTCATACACACGCTGAGGAGGAGGAGATGAAGACGGAGATCCTCCATTTTATATCATCCTGCTCGTTCACTCAGTGGTCAGCCGATAGAGCCGAAGGTTTATACTTTACGATCAGAACAAGGACAAAAACAACACCACCAGAAGCAGAATTTAGTCCTAAATGAGCAGTTTTCATGTTCATAAATAGATTTTTGAGGAGAAATGAACTCCACAAGACTTGCAAATTATTCGAAGCGTGATTGGGAACGTGTAAAAAAACGTTCTGATGGACAAGTCTCACATATTAAACATGGCGGTCAGTATGGATGGAAGCCGCATCCCTCTGCTCACACGCTGCAGAGAGCTCACAGCTATCGCATTTAAAAGTTCCACACGGGCTCCAGAGGGAGCAGCCCCTCGGTTTTGGTCCTCTGTTCTTGGTTAACATGGACTTCCTAAACAAAACAAGCAAAAACATGTTGCCGCATTCATATCTTTTGTTGACATCTCAGTGAGAAATCGGACATAAACAAAGCTCAACTCCTCAGGAAATATATTCAAAATAAGTAAAATTCTTAAGTCTTCTTGCTTTAAAATTGTTTTCACACCGCGGGCTGCTTGAAAATAATCAGTTTATGCAACTTGAGCGAGCTCACTGGGAAACAGTTGCATCATGCTGCATGCACTCCTGACAAGCAACACAAAAGATTCCCACATTCACTTTAAATAGTGGCCCTCAGAGGCAAACACTTCAAGCAAAATGAGACAGAGAAATATTAAAATTACTTTATTACAGATGATTCTTTATCCAGTAGCCCTCTTCCAACAAAAAATAGTAATTACAAACAAAATATTACATTTATCCCCTAAACTTTGCTTCTGAATTTCTTTTATACACTTTAAATCACTTATTCATCTGAAGGAATATCTTTTCTCTTCTGCTATGCGACATTCAGCGTTTTTGCACAATCTATACAATTTAATACATTTTAATACAGATCTCTGGACCAGGGAGAGTAAAACAGCAAGATCCACCAAATGACAGGAGCGATAAAAGGAATACTGATAAACGGACTGTACAGAGACGTGACCCTGCCTCCCCCCGCCTACTCTCAGCCTACGCCGATGGGGCATCACAGTAGACTCTTTGATCTGGTCAGCTACTTGTGCAATCAGTGCAACTGACCCAGCTCAGAGTGACCAAGGTCTTCAGCTAGATTCTGACTCTGCCCCCCCCACCCCCCACCCCACCCCCCCACTGCCTCACAAAACACCTGGGAGTTCTAGTAAACAAGAGGTCTAAAAGTCTGCTGCTCCTTTTTAACCTCAGCAGACGACATCCGGAAAATAAAAGAGTTACCCTTTTGGGCATTAAAAAAAAAAAAAACCCAAAAAATCCCGACTAAGGAGCTGGAGAGAGGGTTGATAAAAGAGGTTTGGTTCGTATGGGAACTCTGTTTCTGAACTGAGGGAACCCTGACGGTGAGACTTTGTTTCTGTTTTTTTTTTCTTCTTCTTTCAGCAAAGGCAAATGATTAAGTTCAGTGTTAAAACAGATGGCGTGTTTCAGAAATAAGGGGTCAAAGTCAAAAATAAGCTCCGGAGGATCTCACAAGGCCTAGAGTAACCCTTTTTACAGACAGAAAAAAACAGATTCTCTGTGTTGTGCAAGAATTTGGAAGCCACTTTAGGTTGTCGAGTGCAGCAAATATCTTTGAAGTCAGCAGTTTCTTTATATCTGTTTGTGATTCTTATAGATCTTTAAAAGACATGTATTTCTCTGTGTTACTAAAACATTTACTTTAGGCCTGAGAGACGTCTAAAAACCATGAGGGTCCTGAACAGACAGGACCTGTACGATGGTATAATGTGATGTCAGTATAACACAGCCCGTGCTAAAGCAAAGGCTACACCTAACTAGATTTCAAATCATGTGCAAAATCATCCTCTTACACTATCAAATGAAACGTTGCCATTTACGCCGGACAACCTCCGTCCAAAACAGAACATCTGCCACAGGTTTGGGAGCTCGCAGCTGCAGGTAGGACAGTGAAAACTCTTGACTGCCGCTGGGCCAAACCACAGCTTTGTGCCGTCTTAATTTTCCTCCGTTTTGTTCAGATTTCCGCATCTTTCACGTCAAAACTGTACAATATGAACATGTGGCCTGTACATTCCCACCTCTGACAGATTAATCTCTGCATTTCACCCACATTGACCCCCGGGTTGACTTCTGTCGTCCTCTCGTGTGATAACACGCGTGCTTTCCTTCTGTCCGGTCTCTTGGGGAGCTCTTCCGCAGTAGATCAGGGAGGAGAGGGGGGGGTGACTACCGAGAAGGCTCGGGGGGGAGGAACCGGCGGTGGAGGGAGGCGGGGAGATCGGTGGTGGGGTCGTGGCGCGGTGGCCTTCGGGGGTGAGGCAGAGCGGGGTGTCAGACCGGGGAGGGGGGGGCAGGGCCACGGCAGCGGAGATCTCAGCATCACCGCTCATCCTCCCACCGGTCGCTCCTCGTTTACCGTCTGCTCAGTGTGCCCTTTCTCCCCAAAAAAAAACCTGCCTAAGCTTTCCCTTCACATGCATCCCTCAGCCAAGACTACACACCTCTGACAGAAGAACAAAAAGGACTATCCGTGTGCATGCCTGTGTAAATATAGCAGGCTAGCGTTTGGAGTGGAGGCCTGTGCCAGAGCGCACCTGTCACGACTCACTGCGGATGAGCTTTTTTTTCAATGTTCTTGAGGTAGCCCAACACGCTTTGTTCGTTTTTTTTTTCGTTTTTTTTCTCCGTGCGTGCGTTTGTTTTTTTTCCACAGACAAAAAAGAAAAAAATCGACCAGTTAACAGACGCTGGGCGCTCCGAATTCTGCCCGACCCAAACGGAGGTGTGGTGCAGCTGGAGTCGTTTTGTTCCTGTGAGGGCCAGCGTGGCCACAGCCTCCCTCCGCCCGGCCGTCTGCGGGGCAGGTGAGAGCGAGTGGGCAGAGGTCTGCGGAAACCCAAGAGCTGAGCCCACAGATCTGGGCCTGCGAGAAGAATGACTACTCCTGCTGGGCCGTGTGGCGTTCACTGACTCAACACTGCAGTGAAGCTTTCTGGCACAATATCTGTAAACTACTAAAAAACAAAACCAAAAAAAAAAACAGCACATTGGCACGACTAGTTCTGACAAATCTGGCTCTGTACCGCTTACAACGGGCATCTCAGAAGCCTCCCTCTCCGTCCTCACGCAGCTCTGGACTCCAGGGATTGGAAGCGAGTGTGGCACTGAAACCCGAAAACACGCAGCTGTGACAGGACGAGGTGCTGCTTACTTTAAGCCATCTGTGGCACCCAGAGTCCCTCTGCTACGGCCCCTGAAGCGACCCCTTCACTCAGATGCTAACTTACCTCTTTCACTCTCCCTCTCGAGTCTTTCCCAACCTGTCCAGTGTCCTCTCATTCGCCTTTAGCTTTGCCTGAACAATAATACCAAAACAGCCTTCATCTGACGGCTTCTTGCGAGACTACACTTTCATGTTTTCCCTTGAGAACAGCAACTTCCTATAGAGTGCGTCTTGTGAACGGGCCGTTTCCTAGACGAGTGCATAAAACAACTTCCTAGTAGCAGAGCGCTCTGGATAAGCTTCGTGGTGAACGGACCCACTGGGTATCTATGGCAACAGAGACTAACGGGAGCTAAAGAAGCAGGCCAAGCAGCCCGGCGGGCCTCAGTGGAAGTGACACTATTGCACCGTGGCACGCTGACGAGGTTGGGCTGGTCTCAGCTCTTTTGGGGTTTCCTCAGAGGGCTGCCGGCCGGGCCCCGACACCCAGGATTGGTGGTGACGACGGCTAGTGCATGTAGACCTGTGTGGGATCTGTGCGTGCGTGTGGCGTTACCTCGAAAAACAAGAATTTAAGACAATTGTTGTGTTGCTTTCGTGTGTGTGTGCGCGCGCTCTAGGTGTACGACAGGTGGGATCCGTTGGAGATCTGAGAGGTGATGCTGGCGCTCCTGCTCATGCCCTGTTCACTCCTCCCCCCTGATGACGTCCTCCTCATAGCCTGCGGGCTGTTCCTCACCCCTCCGGCCCCTCCCTGGCTGCTCCTCTGACTCCCTCCTCCGGGGTGGTGGAGGCTCCAGGGCGGTGGGCCCCCAGCTAGCATGGGGTGTCCCCAGGGCTGCTGTGAGCTGGAGCCCCCCTGGTGGTGGTGGCTGTGGTGGCCACCTCCTCCACCTCCTCCGGGCCAGTGGCCTCCCCCCTGACCCCCCTGGCCCCCTCCACCTCCTCCGCCCCAGCCTCCCTGGGAGTCGGGGGTAAGGTTGGTGAGCACCATGTTGCTGAAGCCCAGCCGCAGGGACTCGGAGTCGAAGGCCTCGATCTCTCGGGCCTGGCGCTCCAGCAGCGAGCGGATTCGCTCCAAGCGCTCGTTTTGCAGGGAAAGCATTTCCTCCTCGATCTGGGGAGAGGAGAACACAAGGGAACGAATCAGTCGAAAAACAAAAATCGGTGGCACGCGCACCACACAAGACAAGTTAATGCGAGCTAATTTCGGACTTTGTTTCTTTTAGAAGAAAACTCCAGTCAATCAAATGTTAAATTCCCTGATTTCTGGAGGCGGCCTTACTTTCTGCTCCAGCAGAGCCCTCCGCAGAGACACCCTCTGCTCCAGCTCCCTCCTCTCCTTGTCGTGCTGAGCTTCTGTCTGCATCTTGATCTTGCTCTGGTAGGCATTGAGCAGCTCCAGCTCCTGCTGCAGCTGCATCCGTAGCACCTGATACTCGCCCTCCTGAGCCTCATCCAACCGCAGCTGAGGGAGAGAACAAAAACATCCTCTGTCTGCATTTTCTGGAGAATATATCATTTCTACATGGAGTTTTAGTTAGGTAATGATAAGAATCATTTTCACCTAAGCTCCAGTTACTTGATGACATAATATTTCTCTATGATCTTATTTATTTATTCAAATCTCCCCCTCCAGGTACTTACAGCCTGTGTGGAGAGCATGTCATTGATGGAGTGATCATACTGCTCTGCCAGGATCGCCAGCTTCCTGGTCTGTTCTTCCTTCAGCCTTTTGAGCACGGCCTTGTGGTCAGACTTGGGTGTAGTCTCGAGCAGTTGGTTTCTGAGGGCCTTGTACTGCCTGGTCTGGGTTTTGCACGTCTCCTGAAACTGCTTCTTAATCTGAAGCTCCTTAGACTGAAGGAGTGAAAGGAAAGAAAATGTGTCAGTGGGAGTGTTGAGGTGCATTCAGGTTTAATAAAAATAAACTGATGAAAAAAAGAAAGAGTCTGACTGGTACCTTGAGGCTCTTGGGCTGCTGTCGGACCTCCATGACGTGCTTACGCCTCAGCTCCCGCTCCCTCCTCTTATTGTATTCCAGCTGGTTGGTGAGTTCTGTCTGGTGCTGGGTTCGGATCAGCTCGGCGCGGGCCTTCTGGATGGTCCCCAGGTGCCTGAACTCCAGCTCCTGCATTGACTCGTGATGCCTGAGCAGCATTGCATGTTCGAGGTCCTTCTGAGTCTGTCGCTTGTTCAGCTCCTTACAATCACACGGGAGGTGAAAGAGGTCAGATAAATAGCCGGAAAAAACACGAAGGGGGTGAATCTCGGGTCTCCGTTTACCTCTCGAGCCAGGTCCTGCTCCACGTTGTGTCGGGCAATGAGGATCCTGCGTTTGAAGCGCCGACACTCCAGCTCCAGGTACTGCCTCTGTCTCCTCAGCAGGTTGGCCTCCTCCTCCGCCTGAGTTTGGACGCAGCGCAGCTTAACAAAAACCTCACAAAGCCATGCTACAGTAGGCCAACTCTTGAAGGGTTTGTCTGTAAAGTTTTGATCACGTCTGACTCCTCTGGCTGATCATTTATAATAAAAACTACCGCTTAGTTCCAAAGGGAGCCCGTTGACTGGGACATTCTCACCTGGAAGTGCTGGATGTTTTCTTTCTGCTTGGACAGCCACTCCTGCTTCTCTTTTTTGGGAGTCGACTGATTCTCACTCAGTTCCTGCAAAAGAATCATCAGTGTGGATCATTTATAATGACAAATCTATGAAACAGGCTCCATGAATTCAATGCTTTTAAGCATCTGCATTTTAAAAAAGGGTAGGGTAAAACTTTATTTCAGTTCATTAACTTAAAGAATGTTGTACCAACTACATTTGGGTAGGATCAGGTTTGATGCACCAATTGAATCATATCCATGTTAGAAGAAGGTACCCATTGACAGCTGGGAACCAGCCCCTCTAAAAGGCTTGAATCAATTCTAATAGATTATGTTCTCCCCACCAAAATATATCAGTTAAAGGTGAAGCTGTTTGTAAAACTGGAAAGTCCTGAGTTGCAAAAGAAAATCCCTGCATTTGTCCTAAAAAATAATTTACTTGTCTTGCAAAAGTAATGTGCATTTTTTAAATTTTAAATTAAACTAAATAATTCAATAATTAAGTCTCAGTTTCCTCATTATTGAGAAGCGCTTAATGATTTCCTTCAGAAAAAAATAAAGACATTGCAAGACTATGCCACATTAGTGAGTGTTACCTCTTTGAGTTGTTCCTTCCGAAGTTTATACTCTCGCTTCTGTGACTCCAAGAAGCTGCTGAGCTCCTTCTTCTGTTGGGCCTGGATGTGCTGCTGGAACTTCTTCTCATCATTGGCAAACGTCTTCAGCTAAATCCAACAGAAATAGTAAATCACCTCTTATTATTAAAGCACTCTTAAATTACTTCTACATTTGCTTCAAATGCATCTCCAGTAGACTGCGTGTTTTTTTTGCCATGGCTTAATATTTTCCGGCGCATTTCTCTCAACATGCTTACGTCTTTCTCCAGGGCCGCCTGGTGTTTCTTGAGCAGCTTCTCCATCTCCTGTGTGAAGTTGTTCCTCTGGCTCTCCAGCTCCTTGTCCAGCCTCAGCCTGTGCTCATCCATTTCCCCTTTCAGCTTGTTCTCCAGGCCCATCAGGTGCTTCTGGTGTTGCCGCCTCATGCGTTTGTACCCCGACATCTGCTCCCTCAGCTCTGAATCCTGCTCATGCTCTTGCATCTCACGGGTCACCTATGACATACAGATACAGACTTAACGATGAAGAGCTGATCGCAAAATACAAATATTAGACCGCTTGCTATTTCCTGCCTTTTGTGTGAACCTTCCTGTTGCAAAGCCACTACAAAACCTAATAAGTAAGAGTAACTGCTGCACGGAAAATAAACAAGCAAAAAGACATGATCTCACAAGTGATGCTGTGCGTATGGTGGCAAAGTGCTCTCTGTTGCGGTAGTGCTTCCTCGGGGCCTGAGCTGGAGCTGCCGGGGGCTCAGTGGGCTGACTGCTGGCCGCCTGCTCTGCAGAGAGAGTCTCCTCTTCCTCCTGGACAGGGAAGACAACCGAATCAACTTTTTCCCCCTTCGATTTACAGCAGCATGCAAAGAAGGAGCCTTCGGCACATAATGCGGTCGAGCAAAATGATTGCAAACAAAAGAAAAAAATAAATCAGATTATTTGGACTTTCAGAAGCCTCACGAAAGGCTGTGGTTACTTTAACATCAATACAGTCTCCTTGGAAACAGACGAACATGTGAGCACTAGCAACAAGTTCAAGTGATGCAGCCTGCTGCTTTAGATTAAACCAAAAAAGAAAAAAATTAGTCATGTTACCCACGTGAAATATTAGAAAGGCTACATTTTGCAAGGTTCTCTTTGGAGAAAAAGGTGCTAAAACAAAACTGAAGACTTTGCAGATCTATCATTGCTCCATGAGTCTGTGAGAAAAAACGAAGCCAAAGAAAACTTTTAAAAATAACCAATGAGTAGAGGGAAAACGTCTTTATAAAGCTGTTAAACAAACACACAAGTAAAATATTGTTAATTTGGGATTGAATCTAGTGAGTTTGTAACAATGGAAACAGAAACTGCTGAGCATTATCCAGCTAAATATTTCTGACTGTGAAAGGATCCCATTTAAAATGTTTAAAATGAGCTTGACTCCACCCACCGGTTTGAGGTGTATGACAGAGCTGTTGGACATGACCGTGTGGTCTCCCTCCATCAGGTCCAGCTCGCTGCGGCTGTCCTGGGCCGCCTCGTTCAGACTGTTGACGGAGCTGCTCTGGGAGCTGGCGCTGATGGACATGCTGGGGATGGACTGATTGCTGCCCACGCTGTTCACCGTCCCTGTCCGGCCGCCGCCCGGCTCCAGGTCCTGGAGCGGAGCGACAGCAAAGCAGACAGAGAGAGAGAGAGAGGGGGGACACGAGAAAGACCAAGAAACACAGACGGACAGAAAGACATGCACAGAAACCGATGTATGCTTCGTTATATTTCCTCGGCATTAGGGGCAAAAATGCATTTGTGTGTCCACGCAGATCTCACTCTCGCACTGCTAATTCAGTGTGGGAACATGCGCAGACCAACACACCTCATCTCCATCCTGTGCTTCTGTGGTGGGCCCGTTGTGAGCCTCCTGGAGGAGGATCTTCTTCATTTTACGGTACTGCAGGTTGTCCAGCTCGCGCACGGCGTCCTTGGTTCTCTGAATGAGATCCATCAGAACGGAATCTGGACGTTCGCGTTGCAGGAAAGCATGCTGGAGGGAAGAATGGAGGAGTGGGGGGGTAGAAAAGATGGTCAAGTCAAGTGGGGAGGGACCGTGGAAAGAAATAAAAAACAACCATTTTAAACTGTTAGGTGCTATCTGGATTCATTCAACAGGTTTCTAATTAATAATGAGATAAGCATGACAACAAACAACCCTGCTACAAACGAAAGGCTTTGCTAGCCCATGAGCACAACATTAGCCTTTAGCTACAGGCATGGGCCCTTAGCCGTGGAGTCAGAGGAGGTGACCTGTTACTTGGACTAAACTCAGTTTCTGTCGATCACGGCTGAATAACGTCAGTTCTCTGCTTCATGGACGAAGCCACAAAACCTCATCATGTCTTATCAATAACATAAATGAAATCCCATACTGACGCCGACGACCGCGGCCGGTCTCTTTAAACCGCAGTTATGATTTGCGACGCAAATCGGACACATCTGTATTGACTGTGTGTCATTTCTGGAGCTCCATCGAGCAGATGAAGCTGTGAAAACGGCTCTGACACGGATCCGATTTTGGTGCAGACGGACCGGCGCTGCAGTGGATCCTGCAAGTTAAAGAAGAAGCGCAGAGAACCAGGCGTCCACAGCCCCAAGGACAACTTCCATAAGGACCAGTGAGTCCATTACTGTGCTAAGTGACAGCTGCTCAGTTACTTAACGACGGGTGTAGAAGTCACATCGCTACAGTAATTACATCTGTGCTCTTTATACGAGCAACAATCTGTGCAAGAGTGTGTCTTGCTTCTGGATATGCGTGTGTGTGAGCGTCTGCAGCCGGAAGTAGAGGATTACTGCGTCAAAATAGGAGCTTTTGGGGGTCAGAGGAGAGCGCAAACATCAGAGAGAGATTTATCCCCAGAGAGAGTGTCAGTGTCCCATCTTAGTGCGCTGACCTCGCTGTGCAGTGTGCAGAGCGTGTGTGCACTTACACCCAACATGTCGTCAGAGTGCGGCCTGTCCTGGGGGATTTTCTGAAGGCAAGAATCAATGAAGTTCCTAAAGTAATCGGTCCTGGAAGAAAAACATGGATATAGAGGGTCAAATCTAAACGGGCACCTGTGCAGTGGGGCTGCATTGCTACTTAGAGGGGTAAACTACACAAACGATGGGAAGATCTGATGACACGAGTCACAAATGGACTGTATGTCTCTGAGACTCCTCACCATTCACTGGACTGCAGTGTTGGGCTCTCATTCTGCGCTATATGGTATAAGGCACTCATTGCATTCATGTTAAACAAAGGAGGCTTCCTCTCAGCTGAAAGAGAAATGACAGAAGTCAGTTTGCTTTCTGTTATTGATCTGTAGGGTTAAAGATACATGAAACTGAAGGGTTACAGTGATCAGCGGTTTAAAAAAAAAAAGCTGAATAATTTGGGGATGCAAATGTACCCAATTCTATACAGGTGATCCCTAAAGACCAGATGTCCACCTTCCCATCATACTGGCCTTCATCCATAGCTAGAATCACCTCTGGAGCCATCCTGGAGAAAGCACAAAAAAGGAAGATAGGATAGGAAAAGTAGACTTATGGGTCTTATTGGTACCGTTTGTTTAGACATTGTATGGGACAAAAAACTCTAACCCACTCACATTAGGCCTCTAGGCATATCTGTGTTAACAGACACATCAAACCTATGTGCACAATGTGGGTGAAAGTCCCATGGGTTTTGTGACCTAACGTTCAAGCGGAGAAAGCACAGGGACCTGGAAACCTTACACGTTGTCATAGCTACAGTTGCTTCATTCAGTATTGACATTATCTAATATTTTGTGTCTGAATGCAGTGAATACAGCTTTTACCTGTATGCGAGTATCTTAAAAAAATTGAGCCAAGTGTTGGTTAGTGGAATGTTTAACATGGGTGTGTGAAGTGCGTTCACATTCCCTCTACGTTTTGCTCACCAATATGGAGTTCCCACAAAGGAGTTGGCGGGTGAGGCAATAGAGGCGGAGCCAAAGTCTGCCAGCTTGACTAGGCCAGGCTCGGTCAGCAGGATGTTTCCTGCCTTCACATCCCTGACAGAGACAGAAAAAGGGGGGATGTGTGTGGAGGGATGTGCTGTCGGCAAGTAACCCGGGCCATTTAAAAACCTCTTACCTGTGGATCATGTTGTGGGAATGAAGGTAGGCCAGTCCTTGCAGAGCACCATGTGTGATGGCAGCAATCTCCACTTCTTGCAGGGGTTTTTTGTGCACTGCGTGAGAGAAGAAATCGGCATCGGCTGATGAGGTCAAACAAAATGTCTGCGTGTCTATTCCACTGGCTTGGATGTCATCACAAGTCTTGTGGAAGGGAGAAAATTCCATTCTGAAGCTCACCTTCCAGCAAATCAGAGGCAGAGCCCAGGCAGTACTCCATCACCAGCTAGTAACGAGAAAAGGGTCAATAACGAGCGGGGCGGCGGGCGGTTTGGGCTGTGGACTGCTGACTTACCCATGCTGTGTGCTCGCGGAGGTAACAGCCTTTATATTCTATACTGTTGGGGTGACGGATCCTCTGGAGAAACTTCACCTCCTTAATAATGTCCTGCCATTTCTGTTGGAGACAGAGGGCACTTGAACCTGACCACGCTTGACTTCCTGCGTTAGAGGTGGCTGAGTGTGTGTGCGGGTGGGTGTGTGCGTGTGGGTGTGTGCGTGCGCGCAGCCTCGTCTTTAAGCGCCAACGCAAAGTAAGGCGGTTCTGTTCTCAGATTATGTATAATCTGATTACAGCTAATCTAAAACCATCAGCAGAGTGGACCCTAACCTGGAGAACAACAACGAAAGTGAGCACAAAAGGCTGACCGTGTAAGACGTGCGGCTTTAAGGGATTTTAAACAGGAAGTACCACCCCAGTGCCGTGCCCAGCAAAGCTTCATGCATGACCTAAATGTGATCTTTGGTGACCAGATTATGGCGAAACACGAGCCCTCGTATGAACTGGTTTTCCGTTATTCCTGTACAGCCTTAAAAGCGTTACATTTCTGTTCTGATTTGTGGTGCAAAAGCATGCGGTCTCGTCTCACCTCGTTGGACTGCTTGCCACTGTAGGACATCTTTTTGATTGCCACCACCTCATTTGTGCGGATATCCCGAGCCTGGGGAACACAAGGTGCACATGTTAAACAATGACAAGTGAACAAAACCTGAATCTCTGGAAAAGACTGTCATAATGTGTGTGTGTGTGTATGTTTGTGTGTGTGTGAGACACACTAAAACTAATGTCACTGGTGAGTCATGCTCTGTAGAAATCTCTGTTTCTTTTATTATGAGATAAACTGTGGTACGCTATAAGATCATAGGGATACTGAAACAGAGTCTGAGTTGGATTTGTCGCAGTTCATGGCTTCAATTAGAACCACTGATTAAATACAGTCGCAGAGTATTTGTATTTACCAAACAAAAAAACTAAATCCTCTAAGACCTAACAGTTGTCCTCCGTAACTGATCAGTTCTGTCCACAGATAAGCTGGAGAGCATTTCTGAGTGGGTGTGAGGGTGTGGTGGCCGTACAAAGTACACTGCGCCAAAGCTGCCATGGCCAATCTCTCGGAGGTCAGAGAAGAGCTTCTCTGGATCTTCCTTGAAGAAAAGCTCAGCCACCTCGGGATCCTTCAGGCTCCCCGCCCTTACGGAGGAGGGCATCCTGGTTTATGTAGTCCCTTATCACCCGCACAGAGGGGACGGGACTATCTGGGCGCGGGGCTGCACCGAATCAGCTGCAGACTCATTTGCAGTAGTGGACGAGTGGAAGGAACCTGCACATGGGCACCTGGGTGGACGGGGGACAAAGAGAGAGAGAGAGAGAGAAAGAGAGATCAGGCAGCGGGCAACGGCAGGACGAGGCGCCTTCATCCTGCAGAGCAAGCAACCAGATGCAAGTGAAGTGAGTGTACTGTCTACGGGCCAGAGAGGAGGCCCCGATGAGGCTGAGCCCGTTTCCTCACAACGCAGCCCTCCTCTGAGCCTCCAGAGGTAAACCGGCTGAACCTGAACAGCTTTCATTTACCGTCTCTACTGTTGCGTGTGATGACTTGGAATGAGTTGGAATCTATGGCATCTCAATCATGACGATGTTAAATATAAAAAAATAAAATAAAAATAATAATGTATCTACTTCAATACAAAAATCATTGAGAGTTTGGGCCCTGGTCGCACAAACAACCGGCAGACTGCAGAGTCATCACAACGGCATCTGTTCAGATTACACCCACCATTATGCTGGATCTGTAAGCTACAGGGGCTACAGACGTGGGCAATGCAAATATCCCGGCTCAGGGATCGATTTCATGTCTGCCGCTGCGAGGTGGCCAGTAGTGATGAAGGCCCAAATGCTCGGGGTGATCAATTAAAAAGGAGGGCGGTTCTCTAAACTTGATTAAGCAGTTTTTGCTCCACTCAATACATCCAAGCTTTTGCAGGTTTTCAATTTAACCGAGCGATCAGCGTGTGTGTGTGTGAGATTGTGACTGCGTGTCATCCAGGATGCGCCGTATACAGCAGGTATGCGCTGCTTGTTTAAGGGGAAATTCTATCCAAAGAGCCCACACATCCCTGAGCTCTTTAAGTGGTCTTAGTGGCCGATTCGTGCTCATGAATCTCTAAAGTATGGGAAAAAAAGGCATCCAAGTCGAGACATAGCTGTCACACATACATCATTTTGTTCCAGTTTCTTGAGTTGCAAAAATGACAGATGCCAAAGATAAAAGGGTATGGAGAGGGCTCTTTTATCAAAGAGCTGTTAGCAGACAGCGTGTCACATCTCAGCAGGATGTGCCCTGTTCTAAAAGAATTTGAGGAAACTGAACAAGTGGAGGAGAAAAGAAGAAGTATCGGGGCTAAAAACAACAACTTCAGAAGAACTGTCTTGAGAAAACTTGGGAGAGGGGCCGAGACGGTTCTGACTTGTCTGAGAGGGTTAAGACTGCGTTCTAACGGTAGAGATACCAGAGCAGAATCTTGGCTTTCAGGCTAGTCATCATTGCATAAGCTCTTTCATGGCCTTATGTACTTACTTTTCATTTCCCAGGTTAAAATACAAAAGTGACACAATAATAGGCATTTTATAACATTCACACTGCAGTTCAGTCTGAAACCTTGTAACAACACAGGGTGATAAATCAGGAGACAGAAACCTAAATAGCCTATTACAAGTGGAACATGTGTGTATCAGTAAATGAAGGTTAGGCTTGGAAGTATGCAAGAGGTGTTACAGATGGGGAGTTCGCACCACTGCAGGCCAGGAGGAGAGGTCGTCTGCTCTGGGACGAATCTCCTGAGTGGAGCATGAGCTGGTGCAGACCCCAAAGGCACTCCAAAGGAGGGAGCCCCATCTGACCCGGGCAGTCATGGGTAGTCTGTGGAGCTCCATGAGTATCAAGCCAAATCTACAATCCTGATTTGAATTTGAAATAGCAGTAATGCTGTAATGGTGAAGGCCAACTAAGCTTTTTGTTTGTCAGAAGCTTTTAAAAAACATACTCCTTTGATCCTTTTTCACTCTGACCGTTCCGCTTTGGGAGCACAGTCGGTCTTGTGTGGACAAACCCCTTTCAAACTGGGAACCGGTCGAGTTCCGGTGCAGCCTCGTGTGGAGTTCAACCGCAATTTGGTGGGTGCAGAACGACTAACATACACACCTCAACAGAAATCCTGGCTGTGCGGCTGCAGAAGCATTACGGCGTCATAATCAGCTGCGAGAGTGTTGGGACAAAAAAAAAAAACCTGCAGCTGAACATCCAGGAATGATGACGCCTTCCACCCCACCGCCAGGAGCCAAACCGGTGACTATAAACGCTCTTTTCATAGAGCAACAACAAAGCCAAAACATCCAACAGACAGCTGTTTTTATATGCTGTGGGGGGGGTTTATCTTTCCACTAGCAGACCTGCTAACAGCCAGCACCAGATAGCCCTACCAAAGTTATGGTACTATCTGGTTGTCACAAGGTTTGTCCAGCTGGCAGGGGAGGGGACCAAAAACTCTAAGATACCACTGACACACACCCCCCCCCTCAAGGACAACTAGCATCTTGGGTGAAACAACTGATAGCCAACGTGTGCAGGCTGCAAGCTCACTCAATCCCTAAGTCTTTACCTAAAACTTATTTAATAAAAAACAACTAAACAAAAACAAACGTGGAGCAGATCCTAAACCCCTGTGCTGTGAAGGCATCCAGTCTGCCCCGGACCTGGACAGGGGCTCATCTCATGGAGGTTCTGCGCTCAGTAAACATGCCCCCCGCCAGAACATTACCAGGCGCATCTCTCTGAAAAGCACCCGCCGTCTGTGGTCCACGGGCTTCAGCGATGAGAGCTCAGGACGCGCCGCCAGACCAGCAGGTGGACATTTTTCACCACACATTTGCGCGCTGACACTTTGCGACATCCGAGCACGTCGCTCATCCGGCACAAGGAACTTTGCAAAAGTGAATTAAAGGATACCTGAGTGAGTATCCGTTTGTAGAGCCCAGCTTCCTGAAGGATGAGGAGTGAGTCTGGACAGTTAGGTCCCTGTCTAAAGCCTGACTCTTCAATCCAGATGTGAAATGACCAGTCAATTTAAGCTGACTGTGTGATTAATTACTCAAAAATAAAGCTGCAAATAGGTAAAAAAGAGGTATTAATCAGGTATCTCTCGCTTTCTTCGTCACACACTGTTATGGGACAGACTCTGGGCGAGATGAGCAAGACTGCAGGACGTGCGTATGCATGTGTAATTAAAGGAGAGCAGCGTGTTCAGGAACAGAGCTGAAAGTTGCCTTCCGCTAGGGAGAATGGATTCTCTCCTGGTGAATTATGTGGACCGATTTCCACTGTGCCGTACGATAAGCAAGAGGCCTAATGAAGAGGGCCCATCACACAGAAGCCGAGTGGCAAAAGGTGTAGCTCAGAGGAGGAGAGGCAACCAAAGAAAAGGAGGGGGACGATAAATAATCAAACAGGCTATTGATTCTCACAGTGAATTTGTCTTTGCTGCGCAGGGTCAGCTACAGAGGAGCACCACCGCGCTCTGCTGATTTATCTGAAGCTAAGAGACTAGGACAACCTACTTCAGAATTTCAGCAAAAGCTGATTAAATCCAACTGAAAGCAGTTATTTTGCCTATACAAGTTTAATTATTAATCAGACATCTATTAACAGCTTTTTTACGGGCTACTGAGGCCGCTAATGATTTCGATTATCACAGTTTTTGTGAGGGCCGAGGACCGCCCGCATCCAGAATAAAACGAGTATCAAACGAAAGCACAGAGAAACAAACACACACCCACGACAAGAGTGCTTTTAGTCATGTTGACTGATCACACCCACTCCCAGTGTGTGTGTGTGTGTGTGTTCCGTTATCAACTAGAACCCTCCTGAGATCACCTGGGGATTTAGCAACGTGGAATGGTTATCTTTGTTTCTCTTCTACCCAGATGCCGCAGCAGTAAATATGTTAGCGCATATTTATCCTTTGATTCATAAGCCTTTAGAGTGGATTTGAACATTATGCTTTATGCTGCATTGCTGAATAATTCAGAACGAATGCACTTGATGTGATATATCTTTGTAAACTGATCAGCCACATGGTACCAGTCCAGAACGGGTATAGATCAAATCAATCTTAGGTTCTCACTGCAAATGGTTAGAATGCACCTTTACTACTAAATAGTAGGAGAGTCTGTCCCAAAAGAGGCATGCATCTCATTTCATGGTTCAATGAACTTCACAGATGATGTTTTCCAGTTTTTAAAAACATTTGGCATGAAACAGCTGTGGTACCTGGAATATGATGACGTAACAACATTAATAACGGTCACTCTGGAAGAGGACTGTGGGTTCTGGATGACATATTGATCATTAGTTTGATGCTCACAGAGAGCTGGAGCATCACAGCTGCTTGTTGGGAGGAAATGTTCATTTCATGACCTACATCAGCGTTGTTATCCAAATGGCTTACAGACTATGTTTCAATCCCCCAAGATGGAGGGTGGGGTGTCCAGGCTCTCGCCTTCTGGACTGATTACAGCCTGTGGACTTCAGTGAGTGGGGGAAGCGAAAACTCTCTTTCTACCCAATTTCAACAACAGCATATCCCATTCTCTGCTGGCACGAGGGCGATGGAAGGGAGGAGTGAAGTGACCAAACACTAAGAGGATTTCGACCATCCCAATGTTCGCACATTTCTCCGTTTAGCCGCCTCCTGTCGAGAGAGATGTCACGACAAAAAAGGACTAGATTTAGTCAGAAAAACAAAAAACAAAACAAAAAGGAAAATGCAGAACACTTCCTCTGTCTTTTAATATTAACCAAGAAAAACAGACATGCCTACAGGACCCTCTTATTCCCTTTTTCGGTGTGACATCACCAAAGATGTTTCTCGGTTCAAACTCCCCAAAAACCAGCCCTCAAACCTGGGGCGACAGCAAGTTTTACTCCCCGTAAATGACAACAACACACTGCAACACAGCACCCAAAACACTGAGTGTGGCCCGTGCTCTGCAGCTGGATCCCAAACAGCTGCTGAGCCACTGTCGGTCATCATTAGTTCTGCAGTGGCTCTTTCACCAGCTGCCTCGCGCAGACAAGGAGAAGCAGGACGGGCTCTGGCCCGGCATATGATGGTCCGTCTCCCCTGGGTTTGGCCATTTAACAGTACCCTCGGACACGAAACTGGCACACAAGAAAATACCTTAAACAAACCAAGCGGCTTCACTTGCACGGAGACGCTCGCGGCCAATAGCTGCTGCGCAACTCGCACCCCTCAGCCTGTAGGTAGTTCTTGAAAGTACGGGGAAGGGAGCCGCTCCAGCCTGCGAACGCATCGCTGTCGTGACAAGCATCTGACAAATGAAGGAACGAGAGGTGTGCAGATCAACCACGCTTACAGAACGCTGGAATTAGGGACAGGCAGCCGGGGGGGTATATTTGTGATGGCCGAGAGGCTAAATCCTGCCTACCTTTCAGGTCCAGCATGCAGGCAGCATTAAAGTCGGACGGGCGACCTGCTCACACTGCAGTGTTAACCCCACTCCTCCATAAATATACTTCATACACAGCACAGAGAGCAGAAAACATGTGGGTGTTCACCACATGAGTTATCAGGCTCCTGGTATGACATTTGAGAGATTACTTGACTTGCAACACAGTGCATCATCTTGTTTTTTGGGGGGGTTGGGGGAGAGACAGAGAGAGAGAGAGAGAGAGAGAAAGATCACAACACTGACGTTATTCGTGGTGTTTTTGTATAGCTTTTCCATTGTGTCATGCACAAGTTAAGCGGGAGAGTCACAGATAAGCCAAACAGGAGGATGGCTCGCTGGGTGCTAGTCGGTGTTACGCAATATCAACACAGAAAGCTGAGGAATGCGACTCACGTCAGCGCACAAAAACACACACCACCAGCAGCAGCGGGAGCAGCGGGAGCAGCAGCCCGTGGCTATGCCTGCTTCTTCCGCCCCACGGTCGGACCGACCCCCGGAGCCACGGCCGGTCCGACTCCCCCGGGCTGCTCGCTGCTTGTAAACACAACGCCAGGCCGTGAAACGCACAAGCGTGCACACGGGCCGACGGCATCTGCCGTAACACGGCCGTCTATTCGCGCAGAATGAGACTCCCGATGCCCCTTTTGGGATGGGAAAAACTTCCCATGCAGGCACCTCGAAACGTGAAGCCCGAATCGGCGTTCACGTACCCGCTCACAACGGACGAAAACAAAAACGAGGGAGTGGCACTGCTTACAACGATAGTTGCATAAAGCTGATTAGCAAGCTAACCCATCTAGCTAACACTCCTAAGGTGAAGCAATCTGTGTCCATTATTTACATCGAACCACTCTCGATTTAGCTGCGAAGCCTCGCTCCCCCTTACATTTGTACCTATAACGAGTGTGTCATTTTGACATTCAAATTACACTCGTTTGTGCTGACAACTAAACGTTGAGCTTGCCAAACACTGGGCACACTGAAATCTTTCGAAGACAAATATCACACAAGCTGTGACAGTAACTTTATTTTTTAGTTAGCATGCAAATGGCTGGGTATGTGGAAGGCTAGCGCCGCGGCTAAGAGACGTTTTAAACGACAACAACCACCACTGGAGAACTAAAATAAAAAAAAAACATTCTGCTGGTAAAGGTTAGCAAAAAAAAAGCTAAAGTTAGCGACCAACTCACCTGGCAAATGGGGGTTCCTCACAGGCTGGGACCTGGAATGTGCATGGACGATTAATCCAGTCTCCCTTGACCACGGTGGCTAAATCACAGGCAGGCAATGCAGTCCGGAGAAATCAAGTGTGAAGCCGCTAGCTGTTAGGGTAGCAATGCTAATTCGCTAATCTAAACTGCATAATTGCCCTACCCAGATACAGACAGGCTCGCTGAATTCAAGTATTTCCGATTTGTTTCACCCCCCCACCCCCGTTCAGCACGCGCCGCTTCTTGCCATCTGTATTAAGCTGGGCAGCATGAATATTAATACGAATCGACACCAGGCTAGCTGACCTGGCGAAGGCTGCCAAACGTTAACTGTCACTGCGAGCTGGCGGCCAGGCGGACCGGACTGCTGCTGGACAAACCCGCTAGCCGCTAACGCGAGCGGCAGCTAGCAAAGTTTCTCTTTTCGATAGGCAGTTCCCTAAAAAAAATGGCGGCGCAGGGAATCTTCGGACCTCCGCCGTTAACAGAGGCGCGTGAATCTTTTTAAAAAAACAAACAAACAAATCTGAATCAGGACGGCGCTTTAACCCGGTCGGGACGCGGTGGTTGGTAGTTTTTTGTCGGTCTTTGTTTAAGATGACTGGATGCACCTCACAGAGTAGATGTTGCCCCCTCCCTATTCGAAGGGTGAAGCACTGCTGTGCGGTCCAACAGATGAAGGCAGAGACGTGTGTTGGAGGAAAAAAACACACACACGCGTCTGTCAACACGATTCGGTTGTTGAACTGTTAATTGCGGCGGATGATGAGGAGCTGGGCTTTCTCTTCATCTTCTCCGTCAGCGTTTGCCTTATGCACTTTCGGACACTGAGCCCCTAACCTGATTAACCGTTTCGGTCTTAATCTGGTCTCTACCTCTATAAATAGCCAGTCGTCGGCTCTCAAACAATGTTAAAAACTGTTAGTATCGCAGGATTTGAGCTGATGTCAGGAGGTACAGGGATGATCCAGGCAGCACTGGGCTGCCCAAACCCCAGCCTGTGTTGCAGGGATGATGGAAGGAGGGGAATTGAATACCTTGCAGTTTGTCCAATTAAGCAGAGATGCGGTTCAAAAAGTGCATGGTTTGACCAACAATTGCAGTGTGAATAATTCTAGAGACACTTTGTGTCCTAGGAAGAGGTCGTTTTGTACAATTGTGTGTGGTAGATAAGGGATGACAACTGCCAAACCTTACTGAGATGCAGCTGTTTATGTGGCCGGCCTGCTATTCAGCGTGTTATCTTTATGGCAAGAAAAGTAAATAGTTGACTCCACTTTCATAACTCACTCAGATACCCCAACTACCCAATATAAAGGGGCTCAACATAACACTGACATAACAAAACAACATACCTCCCCCCCCCCCCCCCTTTTTTTTTTTAACATCTAATCCATATGCTGCCATACAATTCCGGCAGTTCAGAATGAATTTACTGTGCATGGCAGCAGAGAGGTTAAAGATGGACATTCCACAACAGGCTGTAAGCTGGGAGACCAATCAGGGAGCAGAGGATGGCTCACAGAGCTTTGATTGGTTGCCTGGCATCCCTGTTGTCATGATGATGGGAGTCGGGGCCTGCCTGTGTGGTCTGTATCCAGGCACAGTACACTCGGGCAAATGATGGGGATAGATAGGCTACAGGGCGATGGAGTCTTCTGCCCCTGACGCACACACACACTGACGCACGCATGTGGATACAGTAAACTCATGCTGCTCGCTCCGTATCGAGGAAGACGACCATAGATAAAAAAGTTTGGACATTCATATACATCCTTTAGATCAGGCCTAGACAATAGGAAATCACACAAGCCCTGATCAAATTCTGTTGGTGGGCTGCTCTCCATTTTCATGACAAACTGTACAGCTTTTTAGCAAAACCTTAACATCTTTGCAGACAAGCAGCTGTGTTCTCGTGTTCTCTGCACAGAGGTGAGGCATCCGTGAATATTTTTGATCACACGGCCTCATGATTCCATTTCTCATCTGTTTCCTCTTCAACTACCACATGAGGGCACACATGCAACGGTTTTGGCTGAGCAGGGCTGTGAATCATTCGCCCCGCTCTTTCAGAACACCAGTGTCCTCTGTAAGATTTACAATGCTGACAGTATTCAACGTAGTTAAACATTCAGTAATTCATTTCTCATGAGAATTTATCTGTCACTCATTTATCTGTGCATTAAAAAAATAAACCATAAAAGTAACTAAAAATACCCATTTTCGTAAAATTGTGTGTACATGCTTCAAAATAGAAGGATAACAAACGCCGCGTTCACAGGGAGATCTGAATAAGATGGAAGTACTGTTGTTTTAGTTCAGATGTCTGAACATTCTTAGGAGTCACAAGCTTGATTTTCAGCATTAGTGATGGGCAAACATGAGGTCTGAAACATTTTTAATGATGATGAGAAAGCTGTACTGAGATTAGCTGATTAAGTCACAATGTTCGCATCAATGCTAAAGCTGACAGAGCCACTAAACACAACACACACTGATCAACACCCTCTTTTTGGATGGTTCATACAAGTGAGGGAACATCTGCTGCTGACAGTAGTCGAGCTGAAAAGACGTAGGACAGTGGTGTCTGAAATCCACACAAATCGGCTCTTAGTAGTGCCTGATGAATAGAAGCTACAAACCAGGAGACTCACATGTAGATAACAGTTTCAAAACATCCAGATAGTCCCAGACGGGCTAAGAGACTTGCACTGTGATCTAAGGCCCAAAGCAATGAAGAGCAAGCGACAGCACAATAGCGTCTGTGTTCAGTTTTCGCACGCCACGGTCTGTGGGTGTGGCTTGAGGGACATTTTACAACATGTAAGATACTGTTTGGATGAAATCAAATGTGAGGAAAAACAGAATTTGCCTGATGAACAGAGAAAACACAAAAAGAGGTTAACTGAAACTAAAAAGAACAAAAACACCAGTGTGTAAAGATGAAGAGAAAATAAAAAAGAAATATCACCTGGTGCTACCTGATAATAGTTTCTGCAAAGTTGTCAAAGACAGAAGGGTCTAACATTTTAGCTGTCTGGATAGCTGAGTCCAAATTATGTACAGTTCCTGTGGTATAGATTTTACCCAGTGTTACTCACAGTCCATCAGAGGTGATCAATGAGGCATATTTTCCTGGAATTGGAAACAAAACCATCTGAGACGCAGCTCAGAGACTCCAGCTCAGTATTCACGAATAGGACGGCACCAAAGAAAGAGAAAATGTAATCACTGATGGTTCATGCTGCCTTTGCACAACCTTTGCAGATGCATATTATCAAACTCTTAACAACAAAGTGGAAGCAGAAAGAAAATAGTTTTTTAACAGAAGAACTGAGGAACAGGTAAAAGCAGAAAATAAAGAATCATCAGTGCTTTTGTGGTTGACATGAAAAGGTTTTCCTTCGCTTGCACACAAAAGTGTACTTTTCGCATCAAACTGGAGGAACGACCACATTAAGCATTTCGAGGGAGAGCTGCTGAGTTTGCATGAGAGCTCTCAGTTAACCCTGGCTGCACTCAGCCTCCTCAAACTGTCCTGCTACACACCTCCCAGCTGTGCTCTTCTCTACCTACTGTTCTCTCGGCTCAGCTAGGCTGAACACACAAAGCCTCGCCCCCCCGAGAGGCATGGAACTGCCATTTACAGCCTTCAGTTTAGCTGTTTTTTTTAGTCAAATGACCATTGACATCCACCCTCTCTGGTTTCATCTTCTTCAAAGGTAAGCTGCTCGCAGAGTGCACACTAAATTGGTTCAGAGGTTTGAGTTTGAACAAAGAAACCTACATCCCGAATGACTCCATTTTGCTTCATTACTCCATTATGTTCCAAACTCCTGGAGACTTCTTAGCTCTTCTTACCTCGTTCTGGGGAAGCTCGCTGATCTTAATACAAACATACGCGTTCACACACACACACACTTCATCACAAGAGGGGAATAGCTCAATGACATCATCCCACATTAATGTGCTTGTATGTAATCAGAAGTGGTTCTTTAGCCTTTCCTCTCCCCAGCTATCACCTCTTCTCCTTTCTCTGCTTTAGTGTCTTCTCTCCTGGCTGAGGACCAAGCAGGCTTCAGCAGTTGGATTCCTTTGATCCAGACTTCGTCTTACTCAGCCTACTTTAGCCCAGCTGAGGAAAGCAGGTATGTCTCTCACAGGCACGTTGCGGGTCAGAGCTTTGACGCGCAGGTTGCGGTCGTCTGTGAGGAGCACCACCTCTCTGTGGAGCCTGACTGTCCCATCTGTCAACAAAGCAGGTAGCCAGAGAGACAAAGAAATGAAGTCAGAGGGCTTCAGTTGGAATAATTCGGGACAAACATAAGGGAAGATATGAGCATGAGCACGAGCACATACTTCTCTGATGAGGCATGAAATCCTTTGCCTTGTCTTTGCAGTAGTGGAGACAACAGGACAAAATCACGTCATCATTGTTACCCTGAGGAAGAGCATATAGTTATTGAACAACATGAACGACAGCATAAACACTCATTAATAGCAGTTTAACCGCTGAGGCTCCTACCTGCTGTCCAGAGGTGTCCTCACTGCGGAAGGCAATGGACTCTAGCTGGTTTCCTCGGCTCGTCAGGGCTCTGAGGCACGGCTCCCTTGCCTCAAAGCCTTTTTCGAGGAAGGCCACTGCTAACCGGGCCTTCTCCTGTACTGCTATCACGTGGGCCGCGATAACATTGTAGTTGCCACGACCGCCAGCGCTGCGCCCTCCTGGTCCCACTCCTCCACTAGCAGGGTTCTGGCCTTTAGCCAAGCCATCTAACTCTGTAATCACTGGCAGAGAAAGCACAGAGCACACAGTGAGGATAGTAAGATGTACCGTTATGCAGCTAATGCCTGACATATTGAGCGTTATCATCTTTACATTACTGTCCTCTTTCCTTTCCAGTCATCTTACCAATGAGTGGCACAACTATTATGTATATTCCACATTGAAGGAGTCTCTTCAGGCCTCCCAGATGATCAATGAATCCATTGGTATCTGGGACCAAAAAGAGAGGCCTCACTTCCAGCTCCAACTGTCCACTAGTCTGCAGCACAGCCTGCAAAACACATATGTTCACACAGGCATTAAGTTACACATTTTTGGAGCACAATATCACTGTACAGGTCTGACCTATTCATTCACATGATAACCATACATACTTTCTGTTTGACCTTTACCACATTACATTTGCATATGATGTAAATCTTTTATTATCCATCAGCAGTCCAAAAAAGCATTTAAGCTGTTTTCTTTCCCCCCGAGAGTAGAAAAAAAAAGAAATGGATACACAACCAGAATAGAATCAAACTAGTGTGTTAATTTGATTATACCTAATGCAGGCCATGTGCTGGTGAAAATGTGGGTACCTGTATTTTGTCCCTGCGTTTCTGCTGCTGTGCCAGTTTGTTAGCGAGGGCATGGCGACGCGCCTTCAAGAGTCTGATGTTGTTCTCATCATGCTCGCCGTCTTCCATCTCTTCCTCTTCTTCTGATGCCGAGAGAGATGATTCTGCCTCCAGTATGACATCGTCAGCCTGCCAGACAGACACATAAACACACACACACACGGATAACACACTTTGTAAAATGTGACTTACTATGAAAAACCAGCCTCAGCTGGTGGGAGCATTTTAATGTCTTTGTGTTCAAGTCTCACAGTCACCTCTTTCTCTGTTACAGAGTCCTGTCTCCTTCGTGCATCTACGGAGTTTTTAGACGGAGAATTTGCCACAGATATGTATTTGCCTCCTTTGAAGGCCAGCAGGGGCTCTTCCTGTCCACACAGAGCCTCTAGAAAGTACTTCAGAACAGTCACTCTCTTACAATCTGCTGCAATTGCCTGTGGAAAGAAGATGGAACGTATGTGTTAGAAACCAGGAAGCAGGCACATGTGGACTATGGTAATAAAAACGAAGAAAGTCGATGATTCAGGAATTCCACCTGAGTTTAGGCATGTACAGGGACATCTGTGCCAACGGGATGATTTCCACTCACCATGTCAGTGTGTCTGTCTGTGTAGCAGGGCTCCTGCGGTGCAGCCAGCAGTGGAACAAAGCCAGCAAGCAGCTTGTCCTCTTTGAGCTGAAGCACGGTCAGCTCCTCGTCTCCCTCACCCTCATCACTATCAACTTTGTACAGTGGCACTTCCTCATGATCCACACGCGCCAGCATGTTACACAAGTCAGCCAGGCACTGCCAAACATCAGGGCTGCAGCTGGATAGGGGAGAAGTGACCGGAAATTGTGAGGCATTTCAAGTGTCAGCAAAAAGGTTATTACATTCTGTGTGAAGTTTTTGGCCCCTTCTCGTGACTCGAAGTTTTTCGGCAGCAGCACAGAGCTAAAAAAAAAACATTCTAAAAGGTCACCATGCCGCATCTGCTCAGCACCGAACGGCAGAGAGGCAGCCATGTTGAACAGCTGGTTGACAAAACGAAGCATTTGCAGCCAAACATAGAAACACAGGAAGCAGGCATGCATTTTAATGGTGGTGCTCTGGAAGGAATGAAGGACTAAAGACGAGGGGGTATTGCCGATGAAAAGACATTTACCTTATGCTGCAGGGTGGTGGGTTCCACTGGTCTGGGTGTCCCAACATCCAGTCAGACCACACCTTGATGCTCGGAAGTAGTTCTCTCAGGTCCAGAGGGAAAGCAGAAACTCGGACCATCCCCTTCATCTCATCCGCTCTTCCATCATCCTCCTCTCCTTCGGCTATGGCAACTGGTTCTGAGAAATCAAATACAAATATATAACATAAGTGTTTTTAGCGTGACTGGCTGTGAGTGACAACCAGCAGGGTTAAGGTAATTTGAAAGTTGGTTGAAAACAAAAACTACAAAAATACATTGCCCTATCAAATACCGTAAGGATCAAAATACTAGGTCAGACGGTCAGAATGAACAAACTGACAAATCAATGTTTGTCAGATTGTTCCCAGCCATAGATGTAAACTATTTTAACTGTTAAATTAACACTACAGAATGCAAAAAGATGCTTAGATTAAACACGTGGGGAATTTGGTGGGAGTGTACCTGCAGGGGTTTCTTTGAGGAGCTCTGTGCAGCGCTGCACCAGCAGCGAGAACATGCTGAGGCCCAGCGCCGTGGTCTGCCCCAGTAAAACAGACCGGACATCTCCTTCTTCACCTGGGGAACACACGTGGAGCTTTTGTGATTTAAGCGCATTCATGAAACATGTGCTCACTTTCAATAAGCATTACGATGTGGAACCAAGATGCTTAAAAAAAGGTAGATAAATATGAAACATGTGAATCCTGGAGTGGAGATCCATGTTAATCACGTGAAGGTAAATCTAATAGGCAGGCTGGCCAGCAGTGCATTTTATAGTTTGTGTTGGCATTGTGACAGAGTTGAACAGTTTAAGATGACGATAATCAGTGTTGATGTGGGAGCTGCACTACCTCTGCTTTGGGCATTGTGAATCGCAAACATGTTGATGGTGATTATCTGCAGCATGTGTGTACTGCCGAGTAGTGAAGGGCCGTGTTGAAGCAGCGTTTTGAACTCCTGCAGAGCCCGGCTCGCCACATCAGGGAAGGACTCCATACTACATGGAGGTGAAATGCACACATTCATTATAAATAACAGACACAATGAGATTAAGAAAATAAACTTTGTTCCCTTTAAACAAACTGAATCCTTGGAGATTAAAGCTGGAAAACATGAATCATCACTCACCCCACTTTAGTGAAGAGCTTTCCATGTGCATGCAGGAAACTCAGAATGAATCTCTTATTTAGCTGCAGAAAAAAAGGAAGGTTGAAAGAGACAAATAAAAGCATTACCCACCACTGTGCTGCTGTTGAATTGAAGCATAAATCATTAAAAGAGAAATGCCAGGGACAGGTTGAGAGCTGAGGTAAACATCTGAAAACACCCTGGACGGTAAGAAACAGCAGCGAAACACAACATTCTGTCCACTCAGAGCCAGAGCCAGGCCTGTAAACATGTCTGCTTATTTTCAGCTGTGTACTTTGATACAACTAGATTCCCTATAACACTTCTCTTACCAATATTGTTGTTTCTGCCAAAAAACTGTAACTGAATAAAAAAAAGTACATATAACAAGAACTTCACACAAAAAAAATCATGGATTTCAGGACAGTGACCCAAATGGTGGAATAAAATGAGAAACCTTTGAAAATGAAAAATTGGATAATGATGAGATCTACTTATGGCTACTATTTTTTAATTAGGGTGGAAATATAAAACATGTATGTATGTTGAAGAAGGAGGTGGTATACTGTGCTCTAATCGCGGACACAACTGTGGAAACACAAGATCAGGGTTTAGGAATGAGTGTCCAGGGAAAAAGTGGATGTTCTTACATCAGTGGCACTCAGACTGCCCAGCTCTCCATCCTGCTCCGAGTCTCTGCTGGACTCACTCCCTCCTCTCTGTGAGGAGGGGGTTGCAGTTGCACTGGGACGGATCCAAATCTCCACACGTGCTCCGTCTTCCCCTCTTCCTCTTCCTCTCACTGCTGGACCCAGGGAGCCTCCCTCATGCTCCTGCCTTCTCCTCCGTTGGAGCTGCTCCACCTAAAAAAGACGTATTTGAGCGAGAAGCATGTGTGTGCATAGAACGCAATCAATACTTTTTGGTAAACTTCTTACAACTTAAGCTAATTTATCAAGAAAATGATGAGTGCATATCTGTACCTTCATGTACAAAAGTGTCACGCTTTGTCTTGTAATAGCACTGGACTGGGATAACACATGAAACATAGTTGCAGAGCTAAATGTGTTTAAAATATAACCATTTCCCTCTGTGAACACTGTTACTTTACTACTAACTTTGTTAATATTTATTCAGACAGCTGACAAAAAGCATGTCTTACCTTACGCTTAGCTTCTTCAAACAGACTCATCAGACTTTCCTTTGCTGTCAGAATGGGGTTGGAAGCTGCCAAGCTGCGCATATAATAATACACCGCATCCAACTTCCGCTTCTGCAAGTGAGAGATGAGACAAGAGGAGGATTTGTTGTTGCACACTATGGTGAGTGCAAAAAACTAAATAAACAAAAAAAAACATTTACAAAACAGACCCTTTTCAAGGCAAAGAAGGGAAGCTAACCAAAGGTGCATCATTAAGCCATCCCACAAACACGCACAGATAGCCACTGTTGAGTTTCTACAGCTGTTTTTTTTTTGTTGCCATCACACTGTGAGATCTCTTTGGCCAAGATTTATTTTGTTTATAGCTGCCAATTAGACTAAACATGTAAATATGCATCACAGAGTAGCATAAATTTAATGAATCTTGACAGCGTCTGTGTTTTCCTAGTTATCCAGCATGAACTAACCCTAACCTAACCCTCTAGTTATGCTGTCACATTGGATTTATTTTCCTTCTTTTCAAAATTGGCAGATTTGTTTTACATTTAGGAAAAGAAACTTGCTTGAAAATAAAAATGAAAGATAACCAATATCATAGTCCTTCAAATATTGACAAAGATTATTTGATGTAAACACTGACATTTGATACTTGTGTATCATTGTAGGTATCAATAAACACATCTATACCGTAGGTCACACTATAGATAACACTTACTGTGTATATAGCCAACAGGGCTAGCTGGTTATAAGGTCGTCCATTCTTGGGGGCAATCTGCTGGGCTTTCAGATACCAGCTAACAAACAAAAATAACATGCCATGGTATCATGACATAGCAAAAGGAGGAAGAAAAAAAAGAATAACATTGCCTCAGCATACTAAATTACACCATACCTGCGAGCCTTGCCATAGTTGGCAGATTCACTCGCTTGTTCCCGGTACCGTGCGATATCTCCCTGACAGATCATGCAGCGCTGAGCACTTATTAGTGCATACTTGACCTGGAGGGAAAAAATGTCAATCGTCTTATACAAAAAAACAAATTAGGTACAAGCAAACTAAGACAAGCATATAAATGATCAAGCTGCAAGTGTAGTATTTGTCTGAGACCAATTTCTCCTTTTTTTCTTCATATGTTTTGATTAAAAGCTTAAAAATATCCACAAACAAGTTGAAAGTATGGGTGTACCGTTTTCCGTAACGGACGAGCCCTGATCGCCATTCCATCCATGTAATCTTCTAACTTGAACTGGTATGCAGTCTGAACCTTCTGGAGCAGCGCATCAAAGAAAATGGCTCCCTGCAAAACACAAGCAAGGAAGAAGAAACGTTTAATTTGTGCATATCTAGACAAACTGTAAAGTTCCTAAAGATGAAACGGATGCAAACAAGACTTTAAAAACACACTGTTACTCTGACCAAAGTAAAGAATACCTCATCTAGAAGCGTGAGCAGCATGTTCCTGATGTGAGGGGTGTTGTCACAGCTGGGCTCTTTGAGGAGCTGCCGGAAGTGCTCTATAACCTGATAGAACACATTCTTCCACAGAGCCTGATCCACGTTCTGAGAGTCTGAGAACTCTATGTCTGTCAGGATGATCTGCTCATATAGTGCCAAAAGGTCCGCTCTAGAAAATAGAAGGACAATGCATTTACAGTTTTTACAAATGAATCAGCACAAAAAGGTAGAAAAGCAAACAACAACAAGAGATAAAGCACTCACAGAAAAATGCCACCAACACTCCCCATTTCGAAGTGCCTCACCTGAGCTGGGCCATCCGATCCAGTCCGTCGGTGCTGACCCGGTCCCTGGAGAGCAGGTTGCTGAGCTGCAGCTCGTGAGCGTCTGCTGCCCGCAGCAGCCTGCCCAGCTCCCCTCTGGTGTGTTGCTCTGATTCCTCCACACTCAAACCACCTCCTGCTCCATGCTGGGAGTAACCTGCTCCCCTGCAACCGCCGACGAACTGACCCACCCCAGGGCTTTGGTACAGACCATTGGGATGAGCCATTTGGTAGGGCCCCATACCGTACGGATACGGATAGCGCTGGCCAGTGGCGTTGGGAAGGCCACTGGTGGGGACGGGGTAGCAATAGGGATTGTCAGAGTTCTGGAATTTGTAGTAGGCAATAGCAGCAGCCTGCTGGGACGGGAAATGTTCCCCCTGCTGGACTGGAGGGCTGCCTGCTACCTCATCGTCTGTGTCCAGAAAGTGAAGCTGTCCGTATCCCGTCCCAGTCTGAAGATAAACGGGCTGTTTGAGAGATGACTGCTGCGAGAGCGGGGTGCCAGTAAGAGCCGGCTTTTGTTCGGGGTTATTTGGATCCCAGAGGCGCCTCACTCCTCCTCCTCGGCCTCCTCTGCTCCTGCCCGCTGCCCCGCCCCTGGACACACCAGAGAAGAGCCTTTGCCCTACCTCTGGTGAATTTGAGATGTCTGTGCGGGCTGGGAGAACCAGGATCCCCCTCCCCCTGCCCCGGGGAGCCGGGATTAGCCTGCGATGCTGTGCATCCCCACTCTGTGAGGGAGGACATGATTGTTTTTCTGGGGAGCCCCTGAGGATTCCGCCGGCTCCAACTCTGTTTGACTTTACATTCCTCCTCTCCTCTAGTCTCTCTGTGCTTGTTTCTTTGTCCCCACCTCCTCTCCTCCTCCTCCTGTCTTCTGCTCTGTCACTCCGCTCACTTCTCTCCAGCGACTCTGACGATGAATCATTGCTCGTCCAGCTTTGCAAATGGCCCCTCCGTCCTTTGCTGTTTTCCTTTGCTTCTTTGTTGTTATGCTGACGTTGAAGCCAGGCCACTGGCTCCGCTCCACGCCCAGGCCCATCCTGGCTCGTCACGCTGCTAGCTGAGCTGCTGCTGTAGGTTCGATTCCGTGAGTGTCGGATATCAGATTTGGAATAGCGCTTTGAGGCTGACGTGGTGGTGTTTGCGTTGGATCTGTGGCGGTTACCTCGTTCTACCACTCGATCCGAGTTCCTTGCTGCCCTGGCATCTTTCTCAGAATCTCGGAAACTGCTGTTATTGTTATCTCCTTTTTTGTTGTCCCTCTGATTTTCTTTTCTTTTGCTAAGGTGCACGTCTCCTGTCTTCTCAATTTTTTTACCATCCACAGTTCTTTTGTCTTTCTCTTTCTCAGGCTTTCCCAGATTGTTCTTTCCTCCACCACCTTCTTTTTGGGGATCGGGGTTCTTATCTTTTTCCACTCCTCTTCTCCTATGGTTTCCCTTCTCTCTGTTCTTCTCTGCTTTTTCCTCTTCACCCTTGGTTTCTGTACCCTGACCTTTCCTTTCAATATCAGCTTTTTTCCCTCCACTGAAACTTAACTCTCCAACAGCTTTGTCCACAGAACCTGATTTACCTTTCTCTTTTATGCAGAGTTTTTCCACTTTGTTTGTCATTGTCTTGACAGAAATATCAATTGGTAAGGAAGGTGCTTCCAAATCTTGGTTTCCATCCTTTACTTCATTGCATGCTGATAATTTCACTTCTTCTGGCACCTTTTTTACTTTGTCTTTCCCTTTTTGCATTTGTGTGGACCTTTTTTGATCCCCCTCCCTTCCGTCCGTGGTAAATGGGGATTCGGGTTCCGGCTTCCTAGGTGGAGGCTTATCTTGTTCTTTTCCAACCCTACAGTCCTTCCCATGGATACTCCTCCGAGTACCAGGTTGATAAAATTCTCTGTCAGGTTTGCGTGCTTTTTTTGCAGGTTTTGTGGCTCCAGCACCATCCTGATGTTCTCTGTCATTTTCAACAAGAAACGTTTCATTCATCGCCTCAATTTTAACTTGTGATTGGCTGTTCTGGATGAAACTGTTGTCACTGCTAACTCTGTCTTCATCCCTTTTTTGGCTACTAGATGCACCATCTTTACACCCTTGTCTCTCTAAAACATTCTCAGTGACTTTGCTTTTATCATTCGGTAAAGACTCATCCGACTCGTGCGTTTCAGCAGTCTGGGCATCTCTGTGGCTGATTTCTCCTTCCCCGTTGTCCCTTTGGCGCCTTCCTTGTCCACCTGATGGATAGTAACGTTGCATATCAGGGCGCTTTGCTTCACGCCTCTTGGGCTGCTTGTGTAAGGAATGGTCTGTTTGTTCCTCTGCAGAAAGAACAAAATTATGATACAAATAAGCCAAGTTATCAACACAGAAAATGCAATCTGGATATTCAATGGATAAATTATTTAAAGATAGAGCCAAAGTTCTGACTATTAAGCACCAAATACTTTGCGGTGTTATGTTTTCTGAATGATGTCTCTGCAAACTTGCCAGTGAATGGTAATAACCACAAAAAATATTCAGTAATACTGTTGGTTTTTCACTTTAAATAATTCATTTTGGTAACATTCAGCAATTTTACTTGCTCCTAATAAACCTTTCCCACTCCGTCTCATAACATTTAGGTTGTTGGAGTAGCAGAGCATAATTTTGCTTAAAAAGGTAACGTGGGTTCACTTTAGTGGGTGGAAAAATCCTGGTTCATGTTAACGTTTATGTTCAGCAGAGGAAAGGTGGCCACATTAAAGGGCCTTTGTGGAGACAAGAATTGGATTGATTAAGGTGTGATTACACATAAAGAATGTATTCATTTGGATTATAAAATGCACCTCAATGTAATCCTTTAGAGTAAATGACAATATACACTTCATGGTTCCTCCTATCATAATAAGGAAAATGGATACAAATGTATAATTGCCATTTTGTAGCAACAGAGGCAAAACTATGTGCGTATGTAACAACACCTCTGTCTCATTCATGATCATAGTGTGTTTTCATTTCAAGGCATGTAACTATAAACATGAATAAAGCTGAAATAGAAAAGCTTGCACTTCACTTAAAGAAGGAAGAAAAGTTCCTCTGAACACAGACCCCATTATAAAGTTGAGAAATGTCATTTTTGTCATAATAATGTCATAGTATAATAAACTGAGTTCAATTGGATATTACTTTTCAACATTTTGTAACAGCTCTGTTAAGAATATATAGTATCTAATGTCAGAAGCACACTAAAAAGGCAGAAATCGATTAGCTTTGTGTTTGTTTTGTGTTACAGCATCATTTATTTACACTTTCTCATCATGTAGAAACTAAAGATACGAACTGCTGAAGTTTTACAAGAGGAATCTGTCCATTCTTCATGATGTTCATTTAAATGTATATGGTTTTGAATGTTTTTTTTTAACCAAAGAAAGACCTTGATGAAAACATGCTGTTGGACTTTTGTTAATTGTTCTGTTGCTTTCAATATATACATGAGCATCTAGAAAATTGCAGTTTTCCCATCACGCACACATGTGAACTATCCACTGAAGCATCAGCAACCCTTATGGGGATACTTGTGAAAGGTGTTTTGCAAGCCCATCTCACATATGAGTTGTGTTCAGTGGCTAGAAAAGGACATCATTGGTGACCCTTCACGGTTCACGCAAGCCTGACAGAGTAGAACAGCAAAGCATCACAGTAAGATCAACTGACAGATTCAGCAGAGTGATGATAGTCTTGTTAGTTTGAGTGCTTGAAGTGTGTGAATGCACACATTCAGGGCGTGCTTATATACCTTCTTTGGTCGCTCAAAGCCGTTTCAGCTACAAATCAATATGATCTAATGATCCACCTCTGTACTTTAACACATGAAATGACGCTCAAAGAGGGTGTGCAACCGGGTTAGGGTGACAGGTGCATCAGTCCCATCTTAAAAAGGCATGTGTGAAATTATGTGCCATATTAGGGTTTTCTTAAGGCTTTTCCAACGTGTTTCGCTTTGTGTCAACTTGTAGCACAAAAAAAAGTTGGATGATGCTTGGATTAGTTGCTTTTAAAATGTCTATCTTTGCTTAATAATCTTTAGGAAAGAGCAATAAAGATAAAGGAGGGTAAAACATATGATCAGCAGGACCTGTACTGTCTTTAAAATGATCTATAAATCAACCGTTAACCAGTTCCCTACCTACCTACCGTTACCATAACGGTAGCGTACCTCAAGACGTAGTCAACAGGGTGAGATATCAAAACTACATATCATAGATATAAAGAACATTAATGTTAACATTTAAACACGGTTTAGACATTAGAATATGACAATATTCACACACAAAATACCAAATGGTCGTTTTAGTTTGAAAGGGGGCGTTTAAACAGACCGCGCGGGACTAAAGAAAAGACAGCCACAAAGCTAGCTAGCTAACAACATTAGCTTGTTAAAACTTAGCAACTCCTCAGGCCACTTTTATGCAACTTGGTAAGCTACTTTCTTCTTCACTCTAAATCCTCCACTTATCCCCCAATTCTTTCCTTCAACGTGTCTGAGTCACTTCCTCTCACCTTTGAGACCGTCGGTAAAGTTGACTGAATTCGAAGCTTCAGCTCGCAGTTCCGCAGCTGAGATTCGTACTCTGTCCAGTTCGTTCGCCATCTTTCCTCTCACAAAAACACAACAAGTATGGTAGCCGAACGGGAACAAACATGTTCACACTTGTGACGTTATTGCGAAAGCTAAGGCATATTTCCCCTACTATAATCATTTCAAACACAGCGACTAATACTAATATAAAAAAGTTAAATTAAATGTTGAATTAAAAACCAAGTGAATCCAAAATAGCCATAAAGACTATATGAAGGATTTAAAATTAGCTTTATGATTGCTCACACATGAAAAAGATACTTAAACATATATGTTGCCCTGCTTTTAATTACATGGTGCAACAAATGGAGGTATTTATCATTCAGCCCACTTATGCGGACATGGATATTTTGTTTATATGGGTATTTGAGCATGAATGGCACATTTTTGCTATTCCAAAAGAAATCTGTGGTTTATTTTAAATCTTTAATTTAGCATATTTTGTTGTCTAGAAATTATGTCATTTTGAATGCGTGGTTATGTAATTCTTACGTAGGCCTTGACCTACATATGAGGCTGGGGGGAAGGGGGCTTAAAGGTCTACATATTATATAAGGAAAATGATACATTTCCAACAACTAAAACATACACACTTTATTATATTCTATGCAATGTCCACTAGATGTCAGGATTGATTATGTAGTCTGATTTTTACACCTACTCTCCTTTTACCCTTGAGATTGACCCTATGGCAAACTTTCCCCCATCTTTGCAGTTATAATATTATACCTAAGAACAATACTCAACCTTTCTCTCTCGTCTTCCACACAAGAGTTTAATGTGAGTTGCTTTCTAACTTATGTGGGCTGAGGATCTGTCTGAGCATGCACACGTCTGTGTGTGTGCATGCACACAAGGTGGTAGAAGAAGACATCATCTGTGTGGCTGATGCTAGAGTAAACAGCTTCATTTACCTAGCAACACCAAATTAAAGGGCCAGAATCTCCTGTCCTTTCCATAGTCTTCCAGGTATTCTTCTTTCAGAATTTATTTTGCTTCCATGCTTGTTCTTTCACAGTGTCACTCAATAATTCACACAAAGTTCTTGGCACACTTAACAGAAATCCAATTAAGATGCATTTATGAATATGGTCATAAGTTTGCCCATGAAAGTTACTTAAATGTAATGAAGCTTTTTATGTACGCCTCAAGCTCACACTGCAGACTGGTGGCACCAGAAAAAATACAGATGACAACAACTGAAATACTGTATGTCAATATATCGAGATGATATATTTATACATGTAGAACAGCTTCAGTGTCATCTACAGCAGATTTAGATTTTTTTAAAGATCTGAATATTCATCAATTACATTTGTTTTACTATATTTAATGTTAAAGCATAGCACATCAAGAAAGCGGAAACAGAGAGTAGGATCTCTGTCCTTATCTTTATTCATAATTCATCATTATAATCGTTCTCACATCATTGGTACAGTATCACTAAATCATTCCCTGTTCATGATTTTCTTTCTGTCTTTTTTCAATCTGGCATAAACAAAGAAGCCACACTACGTTTGAATGCAGAATCCTGTTTTGATGTAGTGCGAACAGAAGCCCTGGCACACCAGGGGTTGTAGAATGTTTCGTGTCTGCAGTGGAGAGATGTGAAAAAGGGGAGGGGGGGGCTGCCGGAAGTCGTGGGCGTGTGTCTCCCCGTGTGTGTGTGTGTGTGTGTACGTGCGGGTGAGCCTTTATGTGTGTGTGCAGAGTTCTGATTGTCAGTGCTGCACCACAGTGCAGGTGGAGCAATGCAGGATGACAAGAGCCATAGAAGGAGGGAGAGGGGAGGGCTGGGAGGTAGCGAGGGAGGAGAAGAGAGGGAGAGAGGGGGAGAGAGGTGAGGAGACATGATGCGGGAGGAGTGAGAGAATAGTAGGAGGAGAGACCATGAATACAGATGAGAAAAAGAAGCGGGGGAAGCAGGGAGTTCGTGCAGGTGAATCTCAGACACCAGGGGGGTTTCTCCAGCTCAATCACGTCTTAATCTCCCCTGCTCCCTTTTCTTTTCCATTTATTTCTCTGTCTCTTGTTTTGTCTCCCCCGAGTGGGAGACTTGGCGGTGGGAGGCGATGACTTTTAGAGTTGACTTGAGTGGAGAAGGAGGAGGACAGATTGGGGAATACAGTCAGTGGGAGCTGAGGATAGAAGAAAATGAGAATGCTGGGAGGGCTTGCAACAAAAAAAAAAAGTGATCATAAAAAAAAGGTGAAAGCAAGACAGTTGAAACTGATTCAAAATCTCAAGCAGCGTGAGAGACAGACAGTATAATTCCGGTGTAGGGGAGGGAGACAGAAAAACCAGAGGAGGGAAAACTGAGGCCAGAGGTTTGGGTGACGCATGAATGCTGGCACTAGATGTTTGGAGTGTATCCATTTCAACTGTTTCAATGTATAATTCACAAAAAGACAGGGGGAGGAATGAATGAAAGACACCACTATTGTGGTGATGTTTCAACACAGAGAACTGAGACTTTTAAACAAAGACCAAGACACAATGTAACACAGACTGGAATCGTGAGGCTAGATGCTGTATTTTGAGACCTCCTTTAACAAAACTTTTGCTAAAGTTTTAAAGTTTATTCACATTCCATTACTCATGACTGTGTTGGGCTAATAATGTTTTAGATACCGTCTGTCAATATGCCAAAAAATCTAATTCACAGTAAGTGAAGCTTTCAAGATGTTTTCAAATTATTCATGGAACCATACGTTGGACCACAAGGAAAAAACATTTGATAAATCATTCATTCATGTAAGTGAAGCTGACTAAACTGATTTCACAATTGTCTTCAAGTTACCTGTGGTTATAAAATCAGGATTTTTTTAGAAGGTGGATGACAGTGTGGAAATTCTCTCAGCTGACTCTTAGTAGGTTGAGTTTCATTCATAACGTCTGAAGCTATCTAATACCAGAACTGTAAAAACTTTAAAAAACACTAACACTTTATCTCTGATGCAGACTTTGGGACTTTGGAGAGTGTGGAGGGCCAAAACCAGTTTGCGTCAAGTTCTGCATATGTATTTAGAATGATTCAAAACTGACTCACAATCCTGCACTGCACTCCGACTTTTGGTTCCAAAGATTGCACGGAAAATTTAACGAAAATTACATTTTATTTATCTGACATGTGGGTCGGGAATAAAATATTGTTTTTAAAGTAAAAAAAGTTTGCAAATCTAATCTTGAATCTGCTGGTAATTTTCTTTAACCCAAAACAGAACACCATTCAAAATTTAAAAATAAATATTTGAGATGGGCACCAATGACATCATTGCAGACCATTCCTACTCATACTAAATACCAACAACAATTTCTTTTCCTCACTCTGACAGTAACACCCCCTCCTCCCTTCAGCATCCGTGTCGCACACAGCTGGCACTGAGAGTTGGTAATATTCAGCATATGACTCTGGCATAATGTGAAGTTTTCTGTGAGTCACTGTTGGAACACCAGCAGATGAGAAGAAATGGCATTTGACTCTCTGCATAGATAATTTCAAGACATGGTTTATTGAAACTCTGTACATGTAACGAGATCAGAAATATCTTATCATGCTATTCCAGGAGCTGGGAAAGGCTCCAGACCCCCAAACCCCCAACCCCGTTGGGAATAGACGGTATAGAAAATGGATGGATGTTATTCCGGGTACGGAATTTTTTTTGTCTTTCTTGATGCAGTGTCCCTGTGGATGAACACTGGCATGCAGAGTTTTGAGAATGTAATGATTGATCGCAAGAGTCGGATTAAGAATTAGGCTCAAGAACCGTTTGTGACCTTTGAATTAAGGCTGGTGTACTTGATTGAGGCATCTTTTAACATTCAATAAATATTCCTGAAATCAGCCATCACGTGCTCTTGTAGGAGGCTCGAACATTCCAAAAACAAAAAAACGATTTCCAACTTGACTGCAAAGACCACCGGTGATCTCCTCTTTGGGTAAACAACCCCTGCACAAACACAAGCTTCATGGATAAACCTTCACTTGTTAAGGGGTAACTTCAAACATGCATTTTTGAAACGATACAAAAATCATGAAGAATTCAGTAAGTGCACTTTTGTGTAGACATCACTTTGACTGATTGTGTTTGCACAACAACTGGTTGAGGGAGGAGTGGATTCAGTCAGATCGAAACTAATTCTGAATAAAGACATTCACAAATTCATAACAAAGAAACACATTTCGAGGCTGTGATACATCCCAAAGAAGTTTAATTAATACTGGTCATGACCCAATTCTTAGTGATTTTGTTTTGCTAGTAAAAACCTTTTTAATGCTTCTTTGCACGTGCCTCTCCATTTTTCCTCCGCCCCCAACATAAAAAAAACAGGTATGCACTTGATAAGTTTTTTAGTCTAGGTTCACAATAAGTGTCTTTGCTTAGCTGCATGAGTGTGAGTGGGCGGACGTGGAGTTGCCGCTGTGCCTGTGTGTGGGTCTGTGATCTCACAAATCTCGTAGGCAAGACGAGCACGGAGGAGGAAACGATGTGGGGGCAGGAGGGGTTTCACGAAGAGACACCCACCCTTTCCGAGGCTCCAGCTCACTCTGACACGCACCAAACTCACCCACTCCCCCCCCCCCCCCCCCCCCCCCACACACACACACACATCCACAGCTTCACTCTGACAGATTCCTCATTACAGGCACGTTTCATACGCACACATACACGCAACCACGCACACACACTCACACACATTTCCATCCATCCATTCCCTTCTCTGTCTTTTTCCCCTCGCTCGCTCTCTTTTGCCCCGCTCGCTGTGTCTGAGCCACATCAGCAATCAAAGGGAGAGAAAACACAAATGAGAGCAGAGGGGTGGGGGGGGGGGGGGGTAGAGAGAAGATGCTCGCTGGGATTTCAGTATGAGTCAGAATGGGAGAAGGGGAGGTGGGAAGGTAAGGTAGGCGGCTGTGAGGAGAGAGAAGAGCGTATGGGAGGAATGTTTTTTTTTTTTCTGACTTATCTGACTGCATTCTCTGTTTGGAATACAGATGAGGAAACCGAGTGAGAGCCAACAACCGGGCATGACAAACACATAAGAGATTTGGGTAGGAAATGATCTGCATCCCAATTCATGATCAAGTTTCAGGGTGGGAGCAAGTTGAATGCTGAATATGGCTGGAAGGAGGACTGCATGTGGGCTGGTCGGTTGGTGTTCGATCGAAAAGATAACACTGGGAAACGGGATACATCATCCAGAGCCCAAATCAAACATAATAATAGCAAAATGTCATTAAGAAATGATTATGATAAGATTCTTTCAATCCTGAATGTTAATCTGGAGAGAATCTGAGAAGTTTTGGGACCAATGAATGGCTAATTTGTAAAGAGACAGACAGACAAATAGATAGATAGATAGATAGATAGATAGATAGATAGATAGATAGATA